TTTAAATATGTAAATGAGCAGTGTCTGACCACGCCCCCTCTCTGGAAGGGCTTGGGTGGCTCGGGCTTTCTTGCATCATGCCCTTTTGATAACGATGAGAAGGCAGACTCAGAGGGCAGAACAAACACCTAGCTGTGGGAGTATCACCCACCTGGGGGAGGGGCTACTGCCCTTTGTGATGTCATGAAGGGAAAATCTCCAAACGGCCTGTTTGAGCACACATTTTCTGAAAAGTGGAGCAGGGAGAAGACGGAGAGGATGGACTTTTCTCATCATTGGGGGGTTTGTAGACAAACTAGAGACACATAGTAGTGTTAGAAAAACATGGTGAAGTGGATTTTACAGAATATGTGACTTTTACGCAAACTCCAGAAAAACTACGGAAACATTGCTGATGTTTTGTGCAATTTAGTGTCTTCATTTCAAACCTTGAAAATCATCAAGGTTTCCTCATTTACAGTGATGTCAAGATACAATAAAGAGCACAAATTAAACAACAGAGACAAGATGATTCTCAGTAAAAACAATAGCACACTGTGATAAAGTGGTTTGAGATCATTGTCTTTAATTTTTCCGACAGAAACATTATTTTGCACCAGTGATTTTATAATTGTATCACACGAGTCACGCTATGAAATATTGCAGTAACGATATCTTGTCGCTCATGTACTATAAAGGTCTTCAATAACAGAACTGCACATGCATTATAACTAATCATGTAATAGAGTTGAACATCAATGAATGCCTATCAGTACTCCAATGAACGCGTGCTCATCCTGCTCCATGTGACGCACTTTTATTGTTACAGCTGTACGTTTCTGGCCTTTTTTGATTTTCTGACTGACTGTGGTTAAACAATCAGAACAACACATCCTGCAGACGGCAACAGCAGGTGCATCTTGCATCATGCTTTTTGCCCTCTGAAAAGAAAGTGTCCTTTCAGCAGATTCATGGTGACACACGACTGTACCCACTGATGCAACACCGGTCAGGGATTGAGTAGTTTGGCTGTGTGACACCAAAACACCACAGGTTCAACTGTAACACCATTAAATGAACCGACTCTACCAATAAAAGCTGACGAAACGGATGACCCTGTGATTTCAGAGGTGGCAGCTTGTCTTCTTTTTTTTGGGCTTGATTTGCCATGAAAGTGATTAATGAACGGTCTAATTTTGAATCTTTGTGGATCCAACAAACAGGAAACAGGAACCATTATGTGTTTGTGCTGAAAGCTCTTTAATCTGTGACTTTTTGTAACCACTGTGTGTAAAATAACCCTCATTGATACATACCACAGAATATTTATGTTATTCTTTATCAAACAAAAGTGGCCATTTTCCATCAATGTATTAATGAAACACATATTTTAGTAGACAGGAGTCATTTAACTTAAGCGCCCCTTGATAACAACTAAACTAACATGAATATTAATCAGGTTAACCGCTGATGTGTTTGACCATTTCTTTTGCTTTATACTTTTCATTGTTTGTAAATGTCACTTTTTTCTCTGTCTGCTTGTTTGTAGGTTCATTTTGAGTCTTTTTTTTTACATTTTTGAAACTAAAATCATCAATTCAGACTTAAATCCATCTTTCATACATACAGGGGGGCTGTGAGGACATCTCGAAGGACCCGAGCCTGAGATGGGCCCAAAAACCCAAAGGCATAGGCTGTTCATGATACTGGACCAAGTCTCAGTGAAGTCACCCATTGGTTACTTAAGGTGGCTTTTGGAGCTTGCTGATGAGGGTCACCATGCTGAGGGTCAGCCTAACTTTCAGTCAGCCTAATGACAGGCTGAGAGCTGGAGCTGAGGCGGGTCTTAAGCCTCCTGACAAACATCTACACTACGCCCGCCTATCAGTCGAGTCAGCCACGCACCTTATTATGAATAACTCTAATCCTTCATGAAATCCAAACGGGTCAGTTAATTAAAAAAAAAATGTCACCCCCCTTACAGTGTGCGCAGAGAAAGACACGAGCAAATCAGACCATATGTGTTTTTTGTACCAGGCTGTAAACTTGTACATTTCTGCTGTAAAAACTTCTTCTTTTTTTTTTAATGGGGTGTGTATGTGACTTCCAAGGAACTGCAGGTTCTTGCACTTCCACATTGGCTTCATTTTTCAACACAGGAGGTTGCTGCTTGTCCAAAACACATGAAAACGGAGGGTGATTCATTGTCATCTTGTCGTATTCGAACCCAGGTCGACCGCTCAGACCACGCTTGTATAGCACTTTTCTAGTCTTCTGACTACTCAAAGCGCTTTTACACTGCAGGTCAAGAGTCCATCAGAAGTAACTCATTCCATTCATACATTCATTTGCTGCTGAGGAAGCAGCCGGAGCAACTTGGGGTTAAGTGTCTTGCTTGAGGACACATCGGACATGTTGCTGCAGGAGCTGGGGATCGAACCCTCGACCTTTGGGTTAAGGGAGAATTGCCTCTTCCAATTTAGCCACAGCTGCCCCCTGAGCTTTAGGCCACTGGGCTACTGATGTCCCACAACTTTTGATCAATGAAGACATTTAAAAATGAGCAGCATTTACTGTTAAATGCTTAATATGTGATTTTTCACACTTAAATATAAAATAACTCTGTGAGTCATGACAGTCTACAATGGGTGTAACACCCGAATCTTCCTAATCTGGAGCACATTGCAAACACATCTTTGTGCATGTGCTCAGCCTCTAAATAAAATGCTTTGTCACCGTGACAAGGCTTCTGCTCAAGTTGAAAGTTTACTCTGAAATGTGTTGATTAATAAGATGTCAAAACTTTACCATTATGTCCTCTTCAAAACCTGCTCCACTGTCTGGATGAACATTTGCTTTAATGTTAGTTTAACTTAATATGCTGCTCTTACATCCAGGGCTTTGGTAATCTAAAATAAATAAACGTTGGAGCTCAAACCATGTTTAATCAGCTCCTCTGTAGACAAGAATCAAACCCATCAGATGCACAAAGGTACAACATGTCCACATTCAGATCTTCAGATTATATTACACAGCAGAGCCTGAGGCCTGAGAGGGACAAGAGAGCCCTTTGAGTCGAGTTTAATCAAATAATATTGAGCTTTAATGTCAGTAGCCTCTGCTTCTCTCGCAGACATCCAGCGTTCATTTAGTTGCAAATGTATTTTCAGGTTAACGTGGCTGTTGAACCAGGACGGTGCACGCTCTGATGCTCTTATGATAGCTGAAATGAAGGTAACTTCAGATTAATTACACCCATGTTGGTTTATACCACACCCTAATTATGGTTTCTGGTAAACGTTATCTGTTGCCTGGCTCACTTCAGGCCTAAATGATCAAATAAGTCAAATACAAAGACTGCAGAAGACTTAAACAAGTCTTCATAAAAAAAAAAAAAATAACCTTAGGAAAAGTCCCTGTGTTTGCACAACGCTTTATTTAAACTAAATTAAAATACAACATGACTTAAAGGAGGGAGATAGTCAGCCTGAGGATCTTCAAATATTAGTTTTCCTTCAGGCTAATTCTTCAGATCTACACAAGACAAGACAAGACAAGATACGACAAGACAGGATCAGATACTTTATTGCTTCCCCATTGGAGAAAATGCAGCAGCTCAAGCTTATGGACACATGCAATCAATGTATGTAAAAATGAAAGGGAAAATGACAATATTTACATTAAAAAACATAATAATTATAAGAAGAATAGGGTACATAAATGTACAGCTTTACTTGTGGGAAGAAAAAAGTTTTCTGAAGTTGTTAAAACACACTAATTGATCACGGTCATGGTTTTATGCCCATGGGCGTCTTTGTCAGTCCTCCAAACCTCATGAGAGGAAGAAGTTGAAGTTCAGGGTCCATGTTAAATTTAAGGTTTTTAAAGTTTGTATTGGAGTCATGATTTGGATATGTATAAAACATTAATTTTAACAAGGATGAGGGGAAAATACAATAAAAGTGGTTTACTGGCATGGAAGCCCTAATAAGCATTAATTTATAAATTTTAATCAACTTGGTTTTTCCATGATGACAAATTAATTTGTTTTCTCGCAATCTGGATTTTAGTATCTTGTTATTTTGGGATAACGCAGATTTATTTTCTCAAGATATCAAGAGCATATGACTTGGTGCACGGAATAACAAACATCCTTATCCTGAGATAAAGAGATAAATAAAGAGTTCAAGATTACAAACGAACAAAGTCGTTACCAGAGGGAAATTTGGTAAAAATACAATTCTCGAGACCTCAAGAATTTATCTAGTTACTGTACAGAAAGAAAAGTTATTATAATCCAGAGATGAAGTCAATTAATAAATTGAGATCTTGAAAAAGACAAGATAAGATAATCCTTTATTTGTCCCACAACGGGGAAATTTACATTGTTACAGCAGCAAAGAGCAAAGACTGCAAACAAAAAGTGAACACAGTACAATTTAAATAAAAAAAGAAAAATTAAGAATGTACAAAAAAATAGATACTAAAAAAACTGATTTTAAAAAATGAAAAATGAAAAAAAAGATCAGCTGAGCTGCAGTTTTGACAGAAATGTAGTCAGAAAAAACAAGGTGCTGTTTATTATGGGGAAGTTTAGCAGGCCTAAAATAAAATGTAGGATTGTAATGTCCTCTAGGGCTTCCGTAGTTCTGGTGAAATGATGACGATGGTGATTAAAACTCAGACTTTTAAATTTGATCCAGCAACTTTATGAATCACTTCTGATCTGTTATTCTTATCGCACCTACAATGTGACACCGACACACGCGCACTTTGGGAGTGATGAGGTCATTTAAGGTTAAAGGTAAAAAAAATAAATAAATAAATAAAAGGGTGCTGATGAGACTTAAGCTGTTTTCCACGGTAACACTTTCACAACACATGGTCGCTGTCCGGTTGCCAATCTGCGGAGCATTCCTGGGTTACAGTCAGTACAGCTCCACACCCCCTTTTGATTGGCTGAACGGTATGGTCCGCCTCCCGGTGACGTCACGGCGGCTGACTTCACAGGATAAATAGAGGAGCTCTGCGCCATGAGGCTTAGGGATCAATACACCGAGAGGCAGGAGCAGAGAAACACCGAGGCACTGTGAGAAGAACAACACAACCAGCCTGTTATTATTAACCACAGTAACAAGTTTCAACAGGTCATACCAGCAGCAGCAGCAGCAGCAGCGATGAACGGACAGATTAACGGGTTTCATAACTCCCTCATTGAAGAGGACTGCTTCTTGTTCACGTCTGAGTCGGTCGGAGAAGGACACCCCGGTGAGACACACCATCATTCCTCCAGCTTCTCTCCTTATTCAACCTCTTTGTTTTTAAATGTGGCGGTGCTGACTTTAAACTGAATTAATCCTGCGTTTCGCTCTATATCTGTTACAAACTGGAGCAGATATGACAGAAATTTCAGCGTGACGGCCTCTTCCGCCAGGCCGGTGTTATAACGAATTGTGCTACCCTTCAAAATGTGCTTCCATGCGGCTCTTTGCCGTTTATATGCGTCAATTACGGTTTTATTATGAAGTATTCAAACATGCTTCCCGTGTCTTTTAAATGCCAATTAGCTGCGAAGTGGTGTTTAAAACTGATGAGCATTGTTTGCTAGTAGTTTATTGTCCATCCACATACGCTTCCCCTGAAATCTTCAATTGTAGAGTATCTACACGTGATCCTCACACTGACAGTGACTCATGTAGTTGGTACTAAAATAATATTGTGTTTTGTTCGGATAGCATTATTTAATAGGGGATACAGATGACGGTTGGTATCGTTTCGCGCTTTGTTGGCATTTTTCTACAAGGCAGCAAATGTCGACATAACACCCCCCTTTATTTCATCAGCACACGCCGCTAGCTAACGTTAGCCAGCTAATCTTTGCTGAGAGAGGAGGCTGTCGCGTAAACCTGACGTTATATAACGGTATGGCAGTCGGTGCAGAGGTTGTGGGAACACAAACTGTTTATGTTACTTTATGATTTGTAGTCTCTAAATATCTAATAACGTTAACCTGATTCAGTGGCAGCTCGTCGGGGACTATTTCCTGAAGCACGCTGTGACCCTAATGTCACCACTTCTCCATATCGACATTGTTGTTTAACTAAATGCTGTGTTGATGTTTTAACGTAACGTTTAGGGGTTATCACCCCTCAGGTTATCACTCCTCAGGTTATCACCCCTCAGGTTATCACTCCTGTCTTCCGGTCGCCGGTTAGTTTGGCGCGCTCCGTTTCACCCCACATGTGCACATGCTGCTGAAATGGCGACTAAATGAAAGCCACTCCCACCAAGCAGGATCCGAGCTGCTGCTGAAAACGTGCCTCAGTTTACATGTTGTGGATGTCTGTGTTCAATCTCTACGTTTTTTTTATTTCTCAGACAAAATCTGCGACCAGATCAGTGATGCGGTTCTGGACGCTCATCTCAAGCAGGACCCGGATGCTAAAGTAGCTTGTGGTAAGAAACATAAATACTGTTTCCCTGTTTTGTTAATGGATCTTAATAATTGATTAAATATTGAGTTAGAGTGATTTTCTTCATGTCAACATTGTTATTGATTGATTCTATGCTACAGAAGGAGGATGGCAGTGTTGGCAAAGTACCAAGTAATTTCTCTTTTTTTATATTATTTATTTATAGATCTTTGAGGGACAACATCAAGTCATCACAGCATTAATTAAAAGAACCAGAAGACTGAAAACCTGCTTAAATAACCAAACTGGGCTTTTCTAAGATAATTGTGTACTAAAAAGTCACTGAAATTATCAAGCAAGCTATAAAAAAATAAACAATAAACAAAACTCGTCAACCCTCAACATCCCTCAATTTTTATATATCAAAATCTGCCATGAAATCATGAAAACCAGAAATATTTCCATAATAATATTAGATCACTGGTATATGTTGAGTTAAATTTGAGACATTATTGACTGTTATTGTTTTTGTATCCTACAATTTGGCCCCTGGCAGTGAGAATTAAATGAATGTGGCCCCTTGCTGTGACCAAAGTTGCCCGTCCCTGGGTAAGCCTTATTGATAAGAATATTCTGGTAGTGCAGTGGTCTGTCCCTGATTTCCAACTCTGTCCACTGTCCTATCTCTTCATTCAAGGCACGAAAGGCCCAAAAATAAATCTTAAACATCTGGTTTATTTAACAAAAAAAAAGAATATTCTGGTGGGGTTACAGTCCGGTTCTGAAGGTATGTAGGATCCTTCTTCTGATCTGAAGTAACAGGAAAAGCAGCCGTGTCAGCACTGCCATTAATTTGAACTATTAGCCCCCTCCAAAATCAATACTCTGACAAAAACCTGCCACGCTTTGAGCACGACCAGAACATGTGTAGGAGGGTTGTAGAGCAGCGAGGGCACAGTGGGCTGACATCATGGTAGAATTCTGCCTAGCGACAGAGTGGAAGTCAATTTTGTTGCGTCTTTCTTTCTTTGTGCAGAGACTGTCGCCAAGACTGGGATGATCCTCCTGGCCGGTGAGGTGACATCACGTGCCACAGTGGACTACCAGAAAGTTGTCCGCGAAACAATCCGCCAAATTGGATACGATGACTCCTGCAAAGGTGCAGCGATGTTTTTCTGCCTCGTTATGTTTTCTTTTATGGTTTTCTATGAATTCTGTCTTGATCTGCTGTCATGTGTCTCCTGCACAGGCTTCGACTACAAGACCTGTAATGTTCTTGTTGCCTTGGAGCAGCAGTCTCCTGACATCGCTCAAGGTGTTCACATTGACCGTAATGAGGAGGACATCGGCGCAGGGGACCAGGTTAGTAGTTCAAGAAGCTTTAAAGACCATCAGAACATGCAGTGCAAACACAAATGTTGATGTTAACTACTGAACTCCTCCTACCCTGCAGGGCTTGATGTTTGGATACGCCACAGACGAGACCGAGGAGTGCATGCCTCTCACCATCGTCCTCGCTCACAAGCTGAACGCCAAGATGGCTGAACTGCGTCGCAACGGCACCCTGCCATGGCTCCGACCGGACTCGAAGACGCAGGTAGAGCTGTCACGCTTGCATTTACAAACGTCTGTGAAATATTTTGTTTGCTTGAAGCTCTCCTTAATGTTTACTTTTATCACAGGTGACCGTCCAGTACCGTCAGGACCGCGGCGCCATGCTTCCTGTGCGCGTGCACACAATTGTTGTCTCTGTGCAGCACGATGAGGAAATCTGCCTGGAGGAGATGAGAGACGCCCTGAAGAGAAAGTCATCAAGGCGGTGGTTCCCTGCATCTACTTGGATGATGATACCGTCTACCATCTGCAGCCAAGCGGACGTTTTGTTATCGGGGGCCCTCAGGTAATTCACGACGTGAGACAGAAGAAGACGCCGTTAAGCCGGTTAGGTGTTACCTGTGTAACCTGTTGATCCACATTTGTCCTCGCAGGGTGATGCTGGTCTGACTGGACGTAAAATCATTGTCGACACCTATGGAGGCTGGGGAGCCCACGGCGGTGGCGCCTTCTCGGGGAAAGATTACACAAAGGTGGACCGCTCGGCTGCTTATGCTGCACGCTGGGTGGCCAAGTCTCTGGTGAAGGCCGAGCTGTGCAGGAGGGTTCTGGTCCAGGTGAATAAAGAATCCACATGTCTTGATTCTACTGAGCACGGCGGCAAGGGCTTTTTTTTTTTTTTTTTTTTTTTCCATACACAAATGCTTCAAATATGTGCGTCTGTATGTGCTGTGTTAGGTGTCTTATGCTATCGGAGTCGCCCATCCCCTCTCCATTTCTATCTTCCATTACGGGACCTCCAACAAGAGTGAGAGAGAGCTGCTTGATATTGTGAAGAGGAACTTTGATCTGCGCCCCGGAGTCATTGTCAGGTAAAGTATAACAACTGAAGCCGCCTGCTACTCAGACTGCAGCTCCTGGCAACCTGCTTTTTTTTTGTTTGTTTGTTTGTTTCTTGTGCCTTAATTTTGTCTAATGTAATTGCCCAGGATTTCAATTTACGTTTGTTAGCATCGCTAAACTCTGACCCAAAACTAATTTTCATTTTCTGCTGCTATTTTGTTTGGCAGCAATTAAAAGCTGGGGATTTGCCACATCTATTTGTACTTCATGGTAGTGTGAATAGTTGCACATTCAGGCATTATTTGGGTCAAAAGGCACATTTATTAGCGACATAAAGCCTTTTTAGCTCGGTTAGATAAGTCATCTTTTAAAGATGGGATGAGTGTGGTTTCCATCTGCAAGCTGCAGCGACAAACTGCTCAGGGATGAGTCTGGTTGGTAAGTGTCGAAACATCACATGACCCCCCCCTCTCTGCACAAGCTGGTCTTACAACTTACAACCCTCATGGATTTTTTTTTTCCTCCTGCTGGCATATGAGTGTGTGTGTGGAAGCATGACTGTGTATTTGAAGTGGATTGATGTGACTGCTGCTGAATATGTCGATTATGTATTCCAGGGAGCTGGATCTGAAGAAGCCCTTGTATCAGAGGACCGCAGCCTATGGCCACTTTGGCCGAGACGCCTTCCCATGGGAGGTGCCCAAAAAACTTAAGTACTAAACCTGTTAAGCTTTTCCCCCCAGGCCTGTTGGTGTATACTACAGAGAAGCCTCCAAGGTCCCGGGGGTGAAATGCGCTCATCTCTCATTATGGCATCTTTTTAACACATGACTCCCTTCCTCACTCCAACTCCCTCCTTTTGTCTTGTTGCTGTTTTTCTGCCGGTGACGGTGTCACGCTGGGTCATAAGAGGAGAGCCTCAGATACTTGATGTTGAAAGAATTTGGATGGGTGCGATGAACTCGTGCACCGTAGTACTTAATGTTCTCCCACGTCTCGAGGTTCCCCTGTTGTCGTGATAGACCCACAGTAGTTTGCGTTCACTTGGACTCCTTTCAGCATTCCTCACCCGTCAGTCTTCTATTCAGTGTCATGGCGGTAGCATATTAGGCCGTATGCGATACCCCTCTTAATTTACTGGTGCTACTGATGTCTGCTCAACACACACAACTTTTCAAATCTATTAAAGGCTTTATATGTGATTTTAAAAGATCTTGAATATAATATAAATCAAGTATATCCTCTAAAAATAACTGAGTCATGACTGTCTACAATGGGTGTAACACCCGAGTCCCACTGTCTGTGATGTTTTCAGAATCCTATCTTCAGTTTGTTTACATCGCCGGGATGGCCGGCTGACTCCTCCCCTCGTGTATAAAAGTTGTTTAATTGAGGGACTAGAGAAAAGAAGAATAACATACTGTACTCACTGCTTAACTGTGTTTCTAGATCACGCTCATTTCAGGTAAATTTACATGCAGTGTGAAGATACGAGCATAATAAAGATCGCTAGCATTAGCATGCTAACACAACAATGCAGCGCGAGTTGTTTTGGTTTCATGCTGGTGCTCAAGGGCGACATCTGCTGGATCAAAAAATCACATATAAAGCCTTTAAATGAGCTTAATTAGACCGTCTGAGGGTCCTATGATCTGACACGTTCTAGACAACTTGGTTCTAAACATTCCTCCTTCGTCCCGTCTGTTACGACTTTTCACTGACCTCGTGTTTATTTCCTTTTCGTCGGCTTTATTCCCCTCGTCTTCGTGGAGGATGCTAGAATGGCACAATTAAAAAAAAATTCAAGGGTTGTTGCTGTTTTCACACATGCAAAATCAAATGCTATGCATTGCAGGCTAAGGGGTCGAGCCAAATCCTAACTCAAGCTCTCAAATGAGCGTGACGCCTCAGACGCCCCCTACAGACCTTTGCTGTTTTCTGACGTAATACAGAAAAGTCAGAAGCTGCTATGTCACTGCTCTGGTCTGCAGAGGTGTTGGTAATACTTGATAGTGATGAAAAATTGGATTGTTTATGCATTGAAATTCTATTTTAAATGTAGTTTCACTTGCTTTTTTTTAATGGTTTGAAGTGACTAAAGGCCCTTGTGCTCCTTGAGTGTATTGATGGCAGGTGTAGCTACAGAGAAACCTGGTGCCCATCTTTGGCCTTAATGGAGCGGCGTGTTCTTTGCCACAATCGTCTTATTGGCTAGGACTCAAATCCTCAACACTATATTTATTTGTTCTCTGAAACCGGGCGTGGATACAGAGTAGCCAAGGTTTCAGAAGGCAGCTTTAAACACACATGGATACTGAATCTTGAATCCCTTTTTTATTTTTTTGACTTGATCGTTTTTCAGTGTTTGGCTGGAGGCTCCAAAGTGTTGTACAGAAAAGCTTTGGTCTGCCTCCGCTGCCTACTGTTAATGATGATTTTACAACCTATTTTTATTTTTGGGACTGTAGATCTTTTAAGAGGTGGGCTAGTGTTGAAGTTCCGTTTAAAATGTCCGGTACAATTCTTAGCGGTACCTATCCTCTTTAGTGGGACGGCCATATTTGGTTGGTGTAGTACAGAGAAACCAGCCTTGTTTACACGGCCGTCCCACTGTCGGGATAGCGTCTCAAAGCTTTGAATTTATTCCCTTTGACCACTCGGAGGTCAATCCTGTTGGCTACAGTAAGTGTAAGAGTGCCTTTTCTATTTCCTCTACTCCCCCCACTTGCTTTCTTCCCCTCCTGCCAACATGCATTCAAATACAGAAGGAACAAGTAGCTGACAAATGTAATGCTTCATGTCTGGTCTGGGTAGTTTCCTTATGCTGTGTAATAAACGACTACTCCTTTCAAATTACTGCTGTTGTGGCCTTTGTTTATTTTAAGAAACATGAAGATAAATGTTAACATGGTACAATGTGGAAGGAGATTTACGAAGTTTTCAATGTTTGATCCCACTTGTGTTGATCATCACTATTTGAAAGACTTGATGGTATCAAAGTACTGTAGCTTTAAAACTCAATATGTTCAGTCATGATTTTTAACCCAACGCTGCGGGAGAAGAGATCTTTCTGAACGGTACAAATGAGTTGGTATAAGAACGTTACTGCAAACTACACCTGCGGATGCTCTTAAAATCCGACGTCAAGACGGCCGTTACATTTTTATTAACGTCTTTAAAGGAAAGTTCTCACTCCAAAATGTAGCCTAGTACATGTTTGTCTCTCCCATGATGCATTTCAAGAAGGAAACTTTATTGATCCCACATGGGGGAAATCTTTTCATTACAACAGCTCAAGAAAACAGGAATATAATTGTTAAAAATAAACATATACATCAGCTAAATAAAGAGACAAAATAGAATAATATTAAAATAAGTATTTCTGTCATTTGCCTTAAAGTCTTCATGTGATTTTTCACACTTAAATAATATAAATCAAGTATATCCTCTGAAAATAACTCTGTGAGTCATGACTGTCTACAATGGGTGTAACACCCGAGTCCCACTGTCTGTGATGTTTTCAGAGTCCTATCTTCACTTTGTTTACATCGCCCGGACGGCTGGCTGACTCCTCCCCTCGTGTATAAAAGTTGTTTGATTGAGGGACTAGAGAAAAGAAGAATAACATACTGTACTCACTGCTTAACTGTGTTTCTAGATCACGCTCATTTCAGGTAAATTTACATGCAGTGTGAAGATACCAGCATAATAAAGATCGCTAGCATTAGCATGCTAACACAACAATGCAGCGCAAGTTGTTTTGGTTTCATGCTGGTGCTCAAGGGCGACACCTGCTGGATCAAAAAATCACAAAGTTAATACATTGACTTGTGACTTATTTCAGATTTAGTGGTGGTAGTTTACATTCTGTTACAGAAAATATTTTCCTGATAGTCAGACATTATGTACTTTTTTTATGAGCAATGCTAAGGAGTCCCAGTTTAAATAAAAACATTGGTCATATATGGTGCACAAGGGTTTGGGGGGCCCCAGGCAGCCTGTCCTCCCTGATAGGCAGCCCTGGTCTTCATTGAGTTTTAGGTGAAACAAATATAAATTCATTATCACGCAGTCAGACATGAAGCAGGTTTAAGAGTTGGACTCCTGGACGTGGTTCAATCCTCTTTGAAGAGTCTGACCCAGAGAAGAGGTTTAATGTGGTACCACTGTGGCATCATGTAATGGCCCTGTGATAAACAGCAGCCAGCCACTTAAAGCTGTTTCACATGGTTCATGTTTTCAGTTGTGAGGTTGCCCCTTTATGGGTCTCGTGTGTTCTGACCTTCTGATGAAAAACTCACCTGATGACCAGCTGAGCTGCATTTATCAAATCAAATCAACTTCAAAGTGCTTTTATAAAGCACTTTAAACACAACATTGTTGATCCAAAGTGCTCAACATCGCAGGAACAAAGCATTCAAAAGTAACAGACAAGAACAGACAAGAACAACAACAATCAAAAACAGAACAAGTGACAGTTAATTCCAGTGTAACAAGAATAACAGCTGTGGGTTTTTTGTGCTTGATGGGTTACTGAACATTAAAAGCAATTGAGTAAAAATATGTTTTTAAGGCAAGTTTAAAAAACACCAATAGTGGGAGAGAGACAGATTGGGGGCGAAGAGTTCCATAGTTTGGGTCCTGCAATAGAAAAAGCCTGATCCCCATTGCACCTAGGCAGTGACAGATTTATCTCTGATGCAGAACAGAGGCTGATGGTATGTTTGGAGGCACCAGTGGATAATGCTAGAAAGTGTGTGTTACTGTTTAGGGTACATTCACTGTAATGTTTTATTTTTAATTTTCTGTGCACTTTAAAATGTGCAAAAGTTCATTTTTGATTCGAACAGCAAGCACACTTAAAATGCAGTCAGTGATTCTATATTGAGGTTATCTGTGACATAATTTAAGAGGTTTTTTTTCTAAATATTTGTCTCAGGATTGGTATTTTCCCCCCTGCTGCACCATCATTTTGAATCGACTGGACTAAGACCCCTATGGTTCTATTAAACCGTCCGTCTTTTGCAAACTGCATTTCAAAAAAGGAGAAACCTCTGACTGCTCTTTGACTCATTTGATGTCATTTAGCTGCCTCAAAAAAAAATTTAAACAAGGATGTGATGATCCACATTTCTGTACCTACATACACCGAGCTCATTCGAACCTGTTCATAGCCTCCGTAGGTTTAAGTATTTCTGGTATGCAGATGACTGAGTCCTCCAGGCATGTTCTTTATGATCATATTTAAGAAGGAAAAGGTGAGTTATATGACCCCAAAAAAGAACAATTTAAGAGATGACACAAGATTTGTCATTCAAGACATCCACTTTTTTCTCGTCTGGTTCCCTCACAGACAAAATAATCAGTAACAGCATGATTGACCTTTATCTGGAATAACAACAAGGAATTCACACATGACAAAGTGAACTTGGATATGAACGAGCAGGTTTAGACACAACAGGACTCAAGGACTCTGTGGCCTTCTGCAGCTCGCTCACAGTCCTTCAGCTGAGAAGTTGATACTTAAGTATTACAATCTGAGCACAAAGGGACCCTGCAGGGCCTCGGTGTAACAAAAGAATAAATAGCCCACTATGCAGGAATGAGAGCAAATGTCAAGGAGTGACTAAGCAGTTTTTCTAGTTAGCTCTGCTGCAGACTCCTCCTAAAGTCGGTGCACAGGTAAAGCCTTTAGAAACACATAACTGAAATAGTTGACTTAACACCTGCATGGGGGATTTTTTTAAATGACATGTAGACTGAGGGCGTGGTCAGGTGGGTCCTGTTTGTCAAGTCCCCATGAAAAGAAAAATACACTTTCCCG